GTTATCATGAAACATAAAGAGAAAAAAAAAATAATAATTAATAATTATTAATTTATAAAAATGTATTGTGTAATGTGTAAATCTATAAATCGAAAATATTAAATAAATCTGTAATAAAAAAAAAGCCCAAGGGGGGGGTGATCGCCACGTCGCCCCCCCATAGATCCGCCACTGTGTAGTACCTACTTGATATATTACAGTTTTTACGTGATTCCGATTTGGTTAAATACTGCTACAGATTATAAATACTATATTAAAAAATAGTACGACTATATTTGCCGTTTTTTTCGAAAATTCGAGTCCCGGGGTGGAGTAGTGTGTCAGAAACGAGAGTAGGTACCGTGTAGGTATCGCTATATACAGGCATATATACATGCGCCTCGAGGTTCGATTTTTTTCGCAAATCTCGCGTCTTGAACGTCCGAAGGTGGCGGACATGGTGGTCCGCTCAAACGCCCTTAAGAGTCATAGATTTGGCTCCTAATTTCATCTCGGTAGGTGGCTAGGTAGGTTAGGCGTTAAAACGGGTGATTCGACGGTCGTGGTTTCGAACGCCGGCGGGGCCGTGTTAAATCGAATTTCTTTTTTTTGCGTTTTTTTTTTCGTCACATTTATCATTTTTAACGAAAGTGTTAATTTTTTTTTTTAATTTGCATTATTATATTATATATATTATTATTATTCGTTTGACGATATTTATTGGGCAAAAAAATTATTATAATTAACATTTACCGACGCACCTACATGTTTCTTTTAATAATACATTATAATATAACTAACCTACGTGTAGTACCTACTTGATATATTACAGTTTTTACGTGATTCCGATTTGGTTTAATACTGCTACAGATTATAAATACTATATTAAAAAATAGTATGACTGTAATATGACTGCTTCATTTGCCGTTTTTTTTCGAAAATTCGAGTCCCGGGGTGGAGTAGTGTGTCGGAAACGAGAGTATGTGTAGTGTATTCATTTATAGATACCTACGTTTAATAGGATAGTAGTACATTTCAATACAATTTGTTATTCACCAATATAATTATCTATTTGTTAATTTGACTTAATTCTCATAATTAAATAAATATACATGGAAGGTATATTTTAGAAAATATCCAATCAGAAAATTAGATTTTGTCGACTTATTTGTTATAACCGCGAAAACATAACAATGATTACATTGATTACAGTGAAGCCTAACATAAAACACCTGATAACTGTTCTCTATAATTATCAACAAATACAATTTTATTACCTCCTGTATACTTTTTCATATTTGAACGGCCGTTTCGAGCACTTTTCGCTGTAGGCGGATTGTCCGTTCGGGAATCGGATTTCACCCGAGATGACTGATAGCTAGACACTCAAACTCAGAATCCGAATTTCCGATTTCAACTCACATACGAGAACCGGACACACACACCCGGTGCATGGTCTGCGATCCGACGTAGTCGGATTGCCTACCTGACTAGCTACTTGCATACGAGCGACTTACACCCCCACTGCATCCGATCCGCCACAGGTGGATTGTCCGTTCGGGAATCGACTTTCATCCGAGATGACTGATAGCTAGACATTCAAACTCAGAATTCGAATTTCCGATTTCAACACACATACGAGAACCGGACATACACGCCCGGTGCATGGTCTGCGATCCGACGTAGTCGGATTGCCTACCTGGCTGGCTGTGTCGTACGATCGACTTGAATCGCGTGACTTACGACTAGACACTCTTCCGAGTTCAAAAATTACCGCTTAACCAGTGCTGCCAACACGACAAAACACAATAACCGACGACCCCCCATTCCCGCCGCAGGCTGGATCAAAAAACCCAGCATCGCCGACAAAGATTCACCACCGCTCACACAGTCTTTCCGCCGTAGGCGGGATGACAAACACCGGAATCTAGTGGTTAATAAAATACTAGCTACAGTATGAAATATAAAATATAAACTGAATTAATCGTGTAACAAAATTGTTGAAATTATCAATGACAAACTCATTCGATATTGTATTATCTAATTGGATAGATATTAATATATTTTGATGATTGGGACCCAACCATTATTTTTATGATGGACGATCCTTATACCTCTGTTAATGGCCAAATTTCCCTGACAGTGTGATAAATTTATCGTGCTTGGAATCTCCCGTGGGGATCACTACGATGTAAACCGCAGACATGAAACGATGGGAAAATTCGTTCGTCGGAGGGGTTATATGGAATATAAGCAAAAAGGGGTCACAGTGAACAGGAAAGTAGTATAGGCTTACACAGTAACGCGTGGGTGAAAATCAAGACTACGTTCGTGTGAATAATTTATCGAACGTCCTTCTACCGGAATTATTCAAACAGGTATGCATCCGTATTTCTTTCTTTACAAAATTTATTATTACATTCATATTATTGTGATGTCATCGTTTCTATAACTAATATAATCTACGCATTCCACCTGCGTAAATAAGTTCAAATATTCCTTCCAAATAAATTATACATATTATGTGCTTTGGAAGTTGTCTGAAAAATTAATGATTCATTATAAAAAAAAACGTATTCAAACGGAAAATGTATAAAATCAAGTTCATTTATCACAGTAAGCATATATACATACCTTTAATGAATATTCTAAAAATGCATTTTTACGAAATATGACTGAATAGGCACCTACGTACTTACTATACAAACAATAAAGCTTATCGATCTGAAACTATATTTTTATCCAAAAGAAAAATGACAATAGAAATAAAAGTAAAATAATTAATAAGCTATGTATACACTAAGTACCTACCTATACACTTATGAAAATATATTAAGTTTGAAAGTATTATTATACCTAGCATAACTAGAAAAATACAATGACATTAATAATAAATCAGATTTACAAAATATAAATTTTTGTTATTTTTATATTATCCAACAAATTCATGAACATAAGAATCGAACATAGTCTTAACTATTAGTATGAAGTACTAAACTACATTATAGTTATAATTGTCTTTTATATACCATAGTACATTAGTATGTATACATATGTATGTATATATCATATATGTAATATGTATGTATGTATGTATGTATGTATGTATGTATGTATGTATGTATGTATGTATTATAGGCCCAAATTGGGGAGCAAGCCCCCCAAACTTAGGGATATAGCCTCCAAAAAAACCTAAGACATACAATTTTAAAATGCTATATTGCAATGGTCTGTTTGCCTTTAATATAATCAGCCACCCTCCCAAGTCAAAAGTTGAAAATGCGCCTATGGTATGTATGTATGTATGTCTGTGTGTTATAGTTCATATTCAATCAATAACAACTATTATGTTCAATCTTATAATTCTTAATATCTGTTAACCGCAACTATCCGTTCTTTCTTTTCTTGTTATTCGCTTTTCTTTTAACTTCTTCGTATATTTTACATCCTTAGTACTTAACAATATTTTGTTAGATGTACTCTGTATATTTAATTATTATTATTTTTATTAATATTATTTTTTTATCATTTAAAAGTTTTATTACGTAAACCTTTTGTAAACTGTAAATTATGGGTGGTAAGTAGTTAAGTACTTAAGTTTTTAAAAAAGAAAAATGTTTACATAACTTTAAAATATAAACTTGATTTGTTCAGTATAGCTTTATAGCTTTAAATTAATGATATATTACAAACTTTAATCGATATTAGTATGTAAAACACTTATTTTGAAACTTCTAAACAAAGCTGAAATGTAGACAAATACTGATTGGCAACTAGGTACCATTCGTTGTTCCAAACATTATTTTATCCTATCATTAATTTTTGAATGTTAAATCTTTGATAAAATATTCTACAATAAATTAATAACAATTATTTAGGTATAAAAATACTATTTATACAATAATAATACATTTCATAACACAAAACATTAAATATAAATTACTTCCATAATGAAATGTATTATATTATATTTTTAAAATAGATTATATTTCTGATTGTTTTCATGGAGTATTAAATATATTCAACCAACAATCAATCAAATCTACTGTATATTGTATATATTGATAAATATTATATAATACATAATAAATATATATTACAATAATATGACTTAAATATTTGATAAATAAAAACTTAAGATGTGTTTTTATGACAAAAATAAACCTACCCCTAGTTCACACATTGTACAATATAATGTACATTGAATGACATTATCATAAAGTGCACAAAAGTAAAGTATAGTAAAATAACATTTTTATACCTACCTCACATGATGTTTAAAAATATTTTTTCAGAAATTCACAGAAGTATGATCCGTACTAGTTGGAACCTATATAGTTTTCTAATTTTGTTTGCTAAGAAACTTAAAATGAGTTATTGATTTTGAAAAAAATAAAAATATTACGGTAAAAACAAAGTAGTAAAAGGGTCTTCTAGTTATTAAATATGTACGTTAATAGTTTTGCACTCCGTAATTTAGTAATTGTTTAATATAGTCAAATCATTGTAATTTATAGTTTATACATAGCCATCATTATATTTACATAAATACACAGACATGGTAACATATTATAATATATTAAATAGGATGGTTATTACAAAAATTAAAATGTAAAATCAAAATCTCATAGCGATTTTATAATAAGAAACAAACAGATAAAAGGACGGTCTCTGTGAAAAACTGCACAAGTCAGTTTTTAAAAATTAAATATCATACTTTTGTTTTGAAAATAATTTTACTCCGGATTGACTGGTGGCACTGATATTTGGCTATTTCGATAGATAATGTTTTTGAGAATGAGATAGCGCCAAATATCAGTGCCACCAGTCAATCCGGAGTAAAATTATTTTCAAAACAAAAGTATAATATTTAATTTTTAAAAACTGACGTGTGCCCTTTTTCACAGAGACCGTCCAATTATTATTTATTTAAAATAATATATCAGAATGGCATAAATACGTGTTCAAACATTTTCAAAAATAAGCAAGTAATTAATGTGAAATGTATATTGTCTACTCACTTGTTTACCAGCAAATGATTCGTTCACGCTGAAATGTTCACGGTTGAGTATAGTGAACGTAAAATCCACATAAACGCGCACCGATTCGGAAGCACTCTTCCACACTAGGTACGCTCCTAACATCTTGTCAGTTCGTGAGAATGTGATTGACCATTTTTGATGGCCACAAGCAAATTCCTTGGACGTAACGTCCCGGTCTGGATCACGAGTTACTGATTTGGTCACCACGAATGTAAACACATGGGTCTGAAAACGGTCTGGCAACTTAACCAACCTGTACAAGAGTGCCATGATTGATCGATGATCGCATTACTCAGCCTGTGGACAGAAAAATAGAAAATAACTCCATTGTTTGTCGATTTACCAGTTGGGTACGTAAAAATAACAAATAATTGTATTGTGTTATTATATAGTCAACCAACAATTATAAAATAAAATGTATAGAATCGAATATGACCTATATTATATTTTGATCTGTATTAGTAAGATTCAAAATATAGATTTTTAGTTATAGTACCCGCCTAAAAATGTTATATTTTTTAATATTAATTTAAAATATACAGGAACTCGTGTTCAATGATAATCTCGGGACTTTTTAATAAGGAGGGATAAAAAAAATTGATTGGAAAGCTTATTTTAGGGTCGTAACCCCCTACCATCAACCAACATAAAAATAGAATATTCACTAAATCTCAATAAATATTATTTATACTATGCCCCTCATTTAAAAAAATATAATTGAAATTTATAAAAGTAAGTATATTAATTTTTCTAGATTTATGAGAAATGACATCAAGAACTTCTTTGAACCATGAAAAGGTTCTAAGAATGCCTTGTTTAATTAGAAAATATAAATCACATCAGTAAATTTACTCCTTACTACATGTAAATATTCTCTCTGGAGTCGACGTGGCCACATGTATATTATGATGAATAATATTGTAAATGTAGGAACTTCTGCAGTTCTACTGAACATCAGTTCTATAACGCACTTTTATATCACCAAAAAAAAATATACTTTTATTAAATTATCCATATTTTATCTAGTACAATCTTTCTTTAATTAAACATTGTAACTTACTAAATGTAAAAACCAAAAAAAAAACACACACACAATTGTAAACTTAGATTACAGTCCTTACATAAATAATTGGAAAATATTAAATGATTAAAAAACAGTAATTATAGGTAGCTTTTATATAAAATGTACGATTTTATCAGTTTTCTCTGTCATACATTTTATTGGTTCAGGCAATGACTGTTTAAATTTCTGATTCAAGGTAAAATGTATCAAATTGTCAAACAGTTGATTCTCAAAAAAATGTACAGAAAAATACAACGAATTATCATAAAAAAATTATATTTTTGACCTTTATGATAAGAGCATGAAAAATTTAAAAAAAAAAATAGTTTTAAAACAAAATTTGCAATTTTAATCTTAAACATTTTATAAATATGTTAATATTTTTAAAATTGCCATTTTTTATTCAATATAATCAACACACGTAACACTCGAAATTTTAAATCAGTCACAAATTATTGAAACTCCTTTAGAGATCTATATGTATAACTCTTCTGAATTTATTTTACCCAAATTTCATGTTGTTACGAAATAAACTGTTCTATGTTGAACAGTGAAACTGAAAATGTAGTATAATAAAATATTAATGACCAGACAAGATTGAAAATTTTATAGTGTTTGGACCGTCTCTTTAATCCTCTAAAGTTCTTGAACTTTTAACAAGTTTTTATGATAATATTTTTTAAGCAAATACATCTTTTTTAAGTTCATTTTGTTCTCATAAATATTTTATGTTTAATTTATAAAATAATAATTAGTTGATTAAAAAAAAATCATTAATATATTTTAAGTACGATAAAACAATTATAAAAATGCGCATTGTTTAGCAAAAATATGATTGTATCAGGAAAATACAAAATATTTTCCATTAATCACACAGTTTTTATTTTTTAATAAAACATTTGTTTTTATTGTAACATCGTGAAAACAATAATATAATACACAGTGGTTTTTTTTTTTAGTTGAGTTTAACTTTAGCCTTGATATTTGATATAATTATTTTTCTTGTTTACATTTCTGACACTTATTAATCCAAAAATACGATGTAAATGAAGCCATATAACCAATGAGTATTATAGAGAGTATAAGAATTAGTTTTTAACCCTCCTTAGTTGAACTTACAGATGTAACTCGTGGGTTCTTTTTGAACAAAATAAATTACTAAATAATTTATTATGTATAGTGTATGACTATTATTATTACAGTAAGAATATTAATTGTTTTGTATGAGTTATAGTCGTTATAAATAAATAAGAAAAAAAAACAAATTATTGTGATAAAAGAAAACGACGTGTCTGGTCGTGAAGTCGAAGAAATACAAAACGCAATGCGTATAATACATAATAAATAATAATGATAATATTATGACGTATAGTGGCATATATCTATTAAGTTACTTTCGTGACACGGTTACACGCATACAGAAGTGAACACGCACAAATATTGTATATAGGTACGCGCGATGACTTTGCGATGGGCAAGGTAATAATATTATTATAGTGATAAACTGTGTTTGCGTACCATATAATGAGGTATGACCTAGACGTCTGGAAATAAAAATAATTCTTATCAGCGGATCGTCGTTATTGCTCTCAGCTGTATATGACATATAGGTATACTATAGTCTATATGTAGCCTTAACATCGAACATTCAGAAATTCTCTTTCCGGCCACCTCGATTATCCGACTACCTTATTTTTCATCCAGAAGACATTATTAGATTACATATTTGATGGACCCTTAAATGCATGTAGCTCCAGCTGAATCCTTTCATGTCCTTGTTAAATGACAGTCGAGCGTATCATGGACAGATGATGCAGATGCTGGAAGTGATTGGTCCATTTGTACAGTGAAATCAAGTCGTCACACTGACTGATCTTTACATGTATACAATAAACCAGCTTGTGTAGTCATTGGTAAGACATTTTTGGAAAACTACCGTTTCAAGTTGTTTGTATATACATATAATATAAAATATTATATTACTATAGTAAAAACATCATCTAAAATATGCATGAATTAATCGCGTAATACTCTCAAATTATTTGACATTCGCTTCATCAATAATACGATTACACATAATACATTTCCCTGTCAGCGATTGGCTTGTATATTTTTATTGGGTGATTTTTGTTGGGCTGGTGGGAAAAAGAAAGGTAAATACCAACAACAAGCCCATATGAAAAATAATTTAAATTAGAAAATATGAAATTAGTATTTCGTTTAATATTCTTTTGCCTATGGTATTGCTACAGTAAGACTTACATGATAATATTATTATACACAGTACAAACATGTAAATGCAGATGGTATGGTTCTATAATAGTGTTAATATTTACACAAACAGTTATCATGGGATAGTGCACCGACTCACATATGGCATTATCCTCCCTAGTTTCTCTGGATTTCGTGACGATAAAGTAAACAGTTTTATTTTCATTAAGTATACCTAAAAACAGTATTACTTTTCTGCACTGCAGCCAGTGCTCTGTATTCTCTCTATCGTATCACTCTACGGCTATACCTATCGATTACCTAATTACTTTTTTTTAACCACCTAGTGACTATGACATTTATACCTTATTAATAATATTAATTTTATGGCTTATAACACTCTCATAAAATTGTAAAATTAAGTAACAGACTACGTAACTCACGTAACTGCATTATTATAAAATTACACACATTATGCCACCGGAACCAACAGACAACTCACCGATGGACACAAATTCACGAACATTTTCCATGAATAAACCAATGAAAATTCTCCCATCTCTACTCATGAATACAAACAATATAACATTAAGTTATCACCTCCGATCATCGTCAAAGACGTACATATTAAGGACTTAATTTTACTAAAATCTAAATGTATAGCAAAACAGTTGGTTATCTAGAATTTTATTATAATTTTATATGAACCTCAAAATCATATAATATGTTTAATGTAGGTACCTAGTTGTTATGTGGATTCTGTATTTCCTATTACATTTATAGTACCTATATATAATATTATGTATATATTTACACATCATATTTTTTTCGTAATCCAGCCCCCTTTTTTATTTTAAGTACGTAATTAATAAGAAATACAATTGATGATGTCAAGTGTCAACACAATATGATTGCAATAAACCAACTATTTTATAAACTTGCAAACGTGCGTGCATGTTGTGTTGTGTGTATTATTTTTATTATTATTATTTATGCCATAACAATGCGACCACGAAAACACGAACACACAACACGTGTGTGTTAGTCATTTGACATTAAAATATACATCTTACTATTTTTATTTTTATCTATTATTATGTAAAAAGCAAAGTAGTGTTGCAAATAATTTCAGAGTGCTCATCATTACACTACTATAATTAATTAGGGAAGAACATTATATCAGTTGAATAATCAGTTTTTAATTTGTATCAATCTTTCAAAATAATATGTTGCATCAAAACACGAAAATAGATTTAAATTTATTAAAAACGATAGGTAAGTACTGCAATACAATCATAATATATTATAAAAAAAAATTTTTAGTATTATAGGTTTTTAAATAAATTAAATTGCTCCATACAATCCGAAATATCATATAATAAATTGTTTATCTAAAATAAAGTTAATATTATACATTTTATAAATATATTAAAATTAAGAAATACATTTTATATTGAATTAAATGTAGGTGGTACTATAATAATAATATAAAGGCAGTACAATTAATTGAAGTATATAATTTTCATTGATTTATAATCTATAAATATTAGACAAGATATATAATATCAATATAATATTATGTTGAACAATTATAATAAAATAATAATGACATTTTTTGTGATTAACGGTTTTTAAGTAGGTACCTAATAAACCAACCTACAACCTACCTATCTGAAAGTGTAAGAAATGGTGCAACACGCAACTATTTGAAAGTTGTGTACAAGAAGGAAATACGGTAAGTAGGTACTCCATTTCATTCATCAAAACATTCGAAACAACAACGGCATTTCAACTCATGCTACTGACACTTTACTTAAGCCCTACTTGTATAATATTGACATATATATAAGGTATACGTGTAATACCGTATACGTATTACCTCTGCCTAAAAAATAATGTAAAATATTTTATTATTTAACATTTACTCGAAATGATACTGGTCGTCATAAATGTATGAGAATTAATAAATAATTAAATATTTATGTAGGTATAGTAT